CAGAATAAGAACACATAAGGTTTATAAAAGAACATATCATGGTTAGTAGAGGCCGATCTTTGATCGGGCAAGCGGGGGTGCTCATTTCAGGACCTTCCCCTGTCGTACCTGAGTTCCCGAGCCGAGGCAACTTTGGTGATGACGGACACGTAGCCTTTGGCACGAGTCAAGGTTTCTTAAATTTCTCCAAAATAAAATATTTAGGTGGCGACTCTGTAATCTGGAAAAACAGTCCAATTTTGGCATTATTTGATTTAAAATCAGTTTTCCAAAACGATTTGCCGGATTTAGACTCTTTGGTGATTATTAATTTCACATTGCACTTGTGAGACTAGATTCAGAATTGCAGGAGTCCGAACTGTGAGGCCTTTTTTTCAAACCCTTTCCGAAAGGCGGGGGCACGGAAAAAGGCGAGTCCACAGCTCGGCCGAACTTGGTCTATCAAAGACAACTTCTGCCCAATACTTGATCAAATAACACTCTTAGTCGATTGGATTAGGGCCTTATTCTGGATTATCTTTGATGGCCAAGCTAATCAACTAGCTCGGTCTTCCGCATTAATTCCATCTTCATCTATCGAGGTGCTCACCGCTTGATCTCGGTGCACGGCAGAATGGCCTAGCCCGGTTTAAGTATCATCGAAGATACCTTGGTTCAATATCTGAGCTCAACAACTAGCTCGCTCCAAGCTCCGAACCTTGGGCCAGCCTAATTAAACTAATTCGGAACTTCGACCCAATCCACACTCAACTGAGAAAGCCCGATCGCATGACCCAAAGATGTGTCGAGTCGTGACTAGCTCGGCCCGCCCGTTCGGTGCAAACTCCCCTCACAGGTAATTTTCTTGAAATGGTGAGAGAGTTAGCTTAGGTAGTTAGCCTTCACTAACTTCTTCTTCTCTTTCTTTCTTTTTTTTTTTTTAAAAAAAGAAAAATTATTCAATGTGGCATGCAAGATTGGGCAGAAAATAATTACCCCTTTTTCTTTCTAGTATTTTCTCTAACACCGTCTCATAATTTTAAGATAGTAAGGTTTGACCTCATGGTAATTACAAAATCTTCAAAAGAAAATCACATTAAAAGTTTGATGTTATGGTTAGTTGTAGTGCTTGCTAGAACCACAAGTGGGGATCAATCTCTCAACCTTTCTTATCCTTAAGACTTATTATTCCAATTCGAGTATTAATTCACAGGACATCTATGATGTGTGCCACCAAACAACATAAAAAGTCAAATGCCTCGGCCACTAAACCAAGTTTTTTTTGGGTTTTGTTCTACTCCAATCATGCATTGGGTTGTTATTCTCGCTAATAATAATTATCAAAGGCCCTATCAGAAATAATAATAATTATCAAAGGTAGTTCCATTGTTAAATCACTTACTATATTGTTTAAGATTGTTTAAAAAAATTATTGTTGAATGTTTTAATTTTTCAAAAATCTAATAAAATAAGGTTTCATTTTGATATTCAATCTAAAATCTTATAAAATTTTAAACTGTAGTAGATTAATATTATTATTATTTGGTAGTATTATTATTATGAGCGTCTGTATGTGCACATACATGGTCACATATGAGGAGAATAAATTAAGAAATAGAAGAATTTAATGGCATGAGAATTAAAATACATTTCAAAAGTAAGAAAAAAAAATATAAATAGTGATCGTGTCCAATAAATTTGCTTTCAACAAGTATTCATATGTTGGTCTTAGTTTTCAAGTTTTATTAGTGATTTAAAATTAATTACTTTTTCAATTATAACATGTACTAGGCTTGTTAGAGGAGATGGAGTGATTGTTGCACCCTTTGCACAGTAATCGCCGTTGTTCCTTCTATGAGATTTGTTTTAAATTTTATTTCAATTATTCAAATTGTTTATTTTTTAAAATTTATTAAGTAAATTTTAATAAAAAATTTAAAAATAAAATAGATTTAGCAATTATTGTTTGGAGTACTCACGTATAAGTTCTAATAGGTGGACTAATTATCCAATAGGTCTTGTGAGAATTAGTGGTATTTTTTATCGAACACTATAAAAAAATGTCACTAATTAATTTTCAGCGACAGTTTGAAAATTGTCACAAAATATGCCACAAATTATAAGTTTTATCAATTGTTTGAAAAATTCGTTACAGAAAAACGTATCTAATTATAAAATTTAACAACAATTTATAAAAACAGTAATAAAAAAAAATATAAATTTTTAATTTTTAACGACATATATAAAAAAATATTGCAAAAATTATTTTTAACGATAGTTTTATTAAAAATTATTTTTAATAAAATTTAATAGAAATTAAATTCAACTATTAAGATTTATTAATAATTTCCTCTTATGTTTGTTTTTTCAAATGGTTGCAAATAGGTTGTGGTGTTTCAAGTGTTATGTGTTGACAGATGCAAGCATGCATGTATGCACTCTTTACTAGGACTCTCAGACATTTATGTTGTTTTTTCAAATGGTTGCAAATAGGTTGTGGTGTTTCAAGTGTTATGTGTTGACAGATGCAAGCATGCATGTATGCACTCTTTACTAGGACTCTCAGACATTTCACAGCAAACATGCCACTCTTGGGAAATCTGAACAGCAATGATAGAGACCATTAAAAAATCTTATTACTAATAGTTTTAATGAGTTGAAAAATGTAAAAATTAAAAGAAAAAAGAAAAATATAAGAGACAACCATCACATCAAAGGGAGAGCCATCTCATTAGTGTTCCCTTTTTAGTGCTCTCAAGCATTAATCAAATCTGAAACTTCTTCAATTTGGTATAAAAACCACATTAAACATACGGTGGTATTACATATATTAATTAATATATCAATATTAATTTTAATATTATTATTAATCTTACTTATACAAATTATATATATATATATATATTAAAAATCTCTTAATTTATAGCATATTATTAATTAATAAGTGTAGTATTATTCTTAAACATATCAAGTTTAAAGCTTATCTCTTTGAACATTTATTATCAGTACTCATTTCAATTCTGTCTTGTTCTCTCCCAATTGGTGGCACTACCCTCCATGTCGTTTTTTCTCTAAGCAATTACATAAATTAAGAATGATAAATCATCTCAATTTAAGGGAGTATTTAAATTTGATAAGTTTATACTAAAATTGATTTCGGTAATTTAAATAGTTCATTTTATAAAAAAAAATTAAGATGATCGAGTATTGATTTCTATATGTTTAGATTAAATTTGTATTACAAATAATGTATGAATGATGTTAAATGTATCAATTAATATACTACACAAACAGATGATGTGACATAATTTTAGAAATTTTAAGTATTTGTAATTTATATAATATGTGGGGTCGGTAATAATGACATAATACTAGTTGGTACACTAGTATGTATATTAATTGGTGCATGTAGCACCACTGAAAATGCATAGTTGTTCTTGAAATTATATTTATTGTCTATTTTATAAAACAAATATAATTCAAACATATAACTATCAATATCATATCATCTTGATATTTTATATGAATATTTTACTTAACGAGTCTTAAAAAGTGAACTATTCGAATCATTGAAATCGGTCTAAAAATGAGCCTACCAAAACCAAATACGCACCACCTAAAAGAAGCCAAAACCATATTAAAAATTAGGTAAAACGTACCTTCAAAATATGTGAAAATGTTAAAATATATATTAATTTCAATAAAAGTGTATTAAATTTAGTAAAAGTTATATTATGTTATTTAATTTTTTTTTAATACTTATGCCTTAGGGGCCTTATTAGAAAAATTCTTTTAATATTTTTTTAATTTTTTTATTAAAAAAAATATAAAATATAAAAAGAATAGATTGACTTTTTATATTAATTAATTTGTTAACTTTTTAACTAATTTAACTTGTTTCTAAATAAGATTTTAATTTTAGTAGATTCATTTTAAATATTAGTATTTTGTTATTGCATAACATGTTAATTTGTAAAATAATAATAATAATAATAATAATAAAGTTATATTTACATTAAATTCTTTTTCTTTTTCTTTTTTTGCCTTAAAAAAATTAAGAACTAGTTAATGAAAAAAAAAATCTCATCATTTTCATAATTGTTAAAAAAATTTAAACCAAAAAATTTTGTGTTTGTTTTCACCTAACTGATTTTATTTTTTATTTTTGAAAAACAACTTAAAATTTTTGTATTTGTAAAATTATGACTTAAATTTTTTAACAAAATTATAAAATTAATTATATAAAATAATGATAGTCATACACCTTAAACAATGAGATTTGTCACTCAAAATGTTGGTTTGCTCATATTACCTACTCTACTTATTGATCTTATAGTTGATTCTATACATAGAGAATTTTTGTAAACACAACTACAAAAAAATTATTCCATGTACACCTTGCTAATGAAATGTTTATATTTGAAACAAGACTTATTATAATAATATGACAAATGTCGCATTAATAAATAAAATAATTAATAAATTTATTAATTTATGTGGCATTTCTCTAGGACAAAAGCTCACTGATGGAAAAATGACTTTTACCGCTATATGTCTGAAAAACGCCGTTAATTCCTTTAGTGACACTTACTACCAAACGCCGAGGACGCGGCCGTCGCTGTAAGTTTATGACGCTTTAAAAGCGTCGTAAAATTAGTATAGGCGGCGTTTTTATAAACACCGCTAAATGTGGCAGTCAACAGTACACATGACGTCACATAGGCATTTAGCGACGCTTCAAAAACGTCGTAATAGCTTTTTTGTTATTTTAAAAATGTAACTATAGTGGCGTTTGAAAAACGCCGCAATAGATTTTTTTTTTTTTTGAACTACTAATTTTGTGAGATTTAACTTCAAAAATATACATGTAAAATAACAATAATGAACAAAACTTTGTACAGACATATATTTATGTGAGATTACTATTCCCTCACATCTATAATAGTACCCCATACAACATCCTTCAAGAAAAAAATCCAATAAGTTCAATCCCAAAAAATAAAATGAGAATAATTTAAAGATAAAAGTGAAATTAACAGTTGAATAATAAAAAGTAATAGTGCCTAAGGCAAATAGGGTTGGGAAGAAGTTATAATGATTTCCACTACTCAAATCAATACCATAAATTAGGACAGATAACATTTGTCATTGGGTCAGATTACGACCTTAAAAGTTGTGTTTAGCCAAGAAATAATTATGCCTTCATATTCATTGGGCCAGACACAAAGCAACAAGCATTCATGTCTAGATTTTCTAATCAATGTCTCCAAATTTCCAGAGTTGAACAGAGTATTAATAATACACATCAAATATTACCCTTCCTACATAAAGCAAGAACCACCATACTGCTAGAAATTTATTTTTTCACCCCAAGTCAGGCACCTATACCATCGCTTCTGAAGCATTTGGAATCTTTGCCATAATCATGTGCGCATTTGAAAGACCAGCATCATCACCTTTTGTACAGCCAACCTGCTCAGAGAGAGAGAGAGGATGAACGTATACTAATGGTAAAACTAGGAGGTTCAATCATTGTTACCGCAACAAAGATTCAAGCTTAATTCTACAGGTTTCCAACTCCAATTTTTTGCACTTCAACCTTGAGAGACTTGAGGTACCTGACAGCTTCATCGAAAGTATTTAAGAACCAAAAAAAGAACATGAAAACTCAAAAATGGCAAAGCAAAGATAAAAATATCAACGAAATACCTGGTCACACAGTATACCTGTCTGAGGGCCAAATACTGATTTGCTGAAACCATGGCCCCTACATGCATCATCAATGTGTAGAAAAATATAAGCTCACAAATGCTGATTACAAAAGAAAAAAATAAATAAAAGAGAAAGAGACAAAACTGAATTGTAGAATTTAGCAAAAAGACACCACACAACAGAGTTTTTGTATGCATTTGGTCCATGAGAGGCAAGAATTTCTATAACCAAATTGAAAAATGTTTCTGTTTAGTGGAACCATTTTCAAGAGCCTTCTATTGGTGAAAGCTTATGTAAACTATTAAGAGACAGCTTAAGCTTCTAAAGAGAAATTATGGTGAATTGACCATCTAAAGAGACAACAAGGTGCTTCACTGGGAAAGCGTTGCTTCCACAAAAATAAAAAAATATGTTAATTGTTTAATACATTTGATCTTTATAAAAAGCAACATAAACATGTCCTTAAACCAAAATAATAATATGTATGTACTCATCTTAACAACCTGCCCACGAACAAAATAAGACCAACTTGTGCAACCGCAGATCTCTTGAGAAAAAGACAAAAATCAAGTATTTAGTCCACTAAATCAGCCAACTTAATCAATCAAACCAGAAATGATTACGAAGATACATCCACCCATGACACAACTTAACAACTTCAAGAACATATTCAATCAAATCGCAAAATGATTTTTATTTTTCCATTGACCTCAAATACTCTGCATATTAAAACATACGAAGTAAGAAATTACCAAATGTTCTAAAGTATGAACACAAATAGAGCACATATACAGATTCTTTTTGGCCCATCAAGTAACTTCATCATTTAGTTGTCGAGCCAAGCACAGGGGGGCTTTAAGCTGAGAACCAGCTATGTAACCAATCTAGGGTCGAGGCCAATGCAACCTTGTAGATGGACTCATCTCCGCTGCAACCTCTCCCTGCAATTCTATCCCCAAAGCCCTAGTCCATTCTAGGGCCTAGGCCATTGCAGCAAATAATTTGGAAAGTTAAAATCTTATTTTGAGTCCAAAAATCAGATCCACCAGAATTAATATATGCAAGATAACAAAACATAGATGAAGTATGCTCCTTTTAGAACCTCACAACTATAACTACAACATACACTGAATTGCATTTGTCAGCAGGCATCATTTTGCTGCATTTTGGCCATGGAAGAACCTCACCAAAACTGCATGCTCATTATGTCCCACACAAAAAATATTTGTCAAGACTCCTATCTCTAATCTAAATCTCTGTTATGAGGTTTGTATATGAAACTACCAACTTGAAATATCAAAACAAATTGCTACTGATAGCGAACTTGGAGATTGCCAATTCTCTCATTTAACATTTGAGAATACACATAACACATGGATAGGGCAGAGGAAGATAAAATTAAGGCCTTTGGATGTATGTGTAGAGAGAGAGAGAGAGAGAAACTTGTACCTTTGATTTTCCAGTGTACTTGTCCTTCCTTTAAATGCGAATAGCAACTGCTCCACCCACATCACCGAAAAAAGCTCGTAGATCCTCGTAAATTGCCCGTACAAGTTATCATTAGATGAATTAATTATGATATAAACAACAATTGATTCTCATGATCATTTGTGCATGTGGGTGCATAAGAGTGTGAGGCTCAAAAGAAGATGAATTGGCAGCAAACAACTTGCCTGAAGGCTAAGGTTTGATACAAAGGCAGTGCATTGGTCATTGTATTTGGGCTTTTCAGGGATAAAATCTTTTTTTCCTTTTCCATGTGCATTACTAGTTTTGCCTTCATGGACTTGGACATTTTCATCTTTATTTTTTGAAGAGAGTTTTTCTCCTTAGCTTTATCCACTCCACGTGCTTTCGTTATGTTTGGATCTGTATCTTTTTTCCGTTTTGTTGTTCGCTGTTCATCAGCTATGTCGGGTCCTTGCTTTCCCTTTTCACGTGCAATTTTGTTTGACGAGGTCTCTCTCTGATTTGCCATTGTGCCAATACTTTTTCTCTCCTGTTGCAACCTGAACATTTGTAGCTCTCCCAAACGGGGGGTAACCTGTTAAGGAACAAAAAATATTAGCATCAATAACTAGTTAACAGTTGTCATCCAAACTTACACTAAAACATCATACAGAATTAATTAAGTTGAAATCTGTAAAAGTACTCCATGGTTTGCTAATTTCTTTATAGGCAAGGAAGCAAAAAATCAGAACCTGTAAGAATGAGAAATGGCTTCAATTCAAACCTCGATAGCATGGCCTATGGTCTGAATGATTCGGTCAAACGCACTAGGCTGCTCAACTTCAAAAGATCTCTACTGTAGAAGGCATTTGTTGATGATACAAGCAGCAATTGGTCTGTTCCCTACGAAGCCTAGGTGTTGTCCAATACATCGGATAAGAAGCTCCTGATTCTCTTGCTGTTTTTCATTAAGAGTTTTTTGTGGTTTGTCCTCTACTTCTGAAAGATCCCTTTGGTTTAATGAAGGGCTATGCAGATCCTAAGGCATTTTTAACAGTAATCAACAAAAATGCATGTTTAAAAAAAGGATTGATGAAAACATGAAAATTTCATAAAACATGAAAATTTCAACTCCCCAACACCACTAATGACATCCTTTCCATGCACTTTGAAAGGAGTTTGATGTAAAGTAATACACTAGAAAAGCTACAGGTTATAATGTTATCTGCAAAACACACATTAAACTAGATCTATAGGTCCTTAATTTAGGTGAATCAAGAAAAACTTAAAGTGTCAAGTAAGGATGACATAAGCGGGAATAACTGACTTGCAAGGCATCAGACCAAAGTACAGACGATATATGGAAGTTGTTCTGTCCCTTTTAATAAAGCACTGAATAGGAGAATCCCTCGGCCCAGGCTATATAGAAATAAGAAGCAAAATAGCTCAGTTAGAACAATATAATCATAACAATGAAATAAGAATAATAACAAACATATGAACAAAAGTCACATGTTTCAATGAAATGGGAAAGGTCAGTCTCCCACATTCCTCTGGAGTCTTGACAATCTCCTTTGTAATATCCCTCCATGATTTGCAAACTGATGCACAAAAGACAACATCGGGCCTTGCAGGCTAGGTTGTTTCGCTCTCTTCAACCCTCCGAATTATATCCAAAAGCAATTCCGGAGGCAAGTTAGCCCACTTTCCTTGTTCAACTGGCTCAGAAGGGGCTACATCAAGGGTAATATGTGATCGGGTTCGGTTACACCAGTGCTTGCCTTCCACCCTTCGTTTTGATATACTCCTCATTCCATCTTTCATCTCCCAACACAATTTATTTGTTTGTCACAGCGAAACTTACATCATTGAAGCACATCATTCACTTCTAAATCAATAGACATGGCATAGTCAGCCACAACATGTTCCACATTGAGGGGATTTTAACTTGTAACATGTCAATGGGAGAGTTCCAAACAATGCAAACAGAGAGAGGAACCATGCTTAAATGGATCGGTCAAGACCCTTCACAGATTCAAATGGGTTATAAAATAGGGAAACAAATGGGAAATCAAAGTGCCAATTGGATTGACATTACCAGAACTGGACTACTATTGATTTTGTTCAATGGATTCCATAGTGGACTACCAGAAGAAATTTCATTAATTGCAATACAATCTTCATAAAAAAAATTGCAAAACCAGTTCCGAATACCTACTATTTAACTTCTCAAACAAAAACATTTGCTTTTGCATTGGTTGGTTCTAGGTTACATACAATTGAACAGCGGATGATTTTAACAGTCCTCAAAAAATCAGTGTAATTGCATAGAACAAATGAATGGTGACCAAGGACCAATACCATGTACCAGCCAAATAATTGCCATCACTTATATCTGCATCAGCAGGGCCAAATCCCATTGCCGTTGATGACCCTGTAAAGCTTCCATTGTTTACTGCAAAGCTGCATTGCCAATCGGCAAAAATTATATAAATATTTAAATCAATATGTTCAAAGGAAAGCAAAAAACATTGAAAAATAATCTGAATTCTTATACGGATATTGAATAGTCTGCATGATATGAAAGGAATTAAACGTAAATTAAACTAACGTATTTTTTTCTAGAAGAACACATCGTGTCGCAATAGAGTGTGACCACTACACAAATTTTGTAGTCCAGCACCACCACACTAGAAAGAGATGTTGGAAAGCAAAAATATTAAAACACTTCTTGTTTAGCTATGTAGAAAAACTGACCAAACCAATAAAACCAACCAAGAAAAACCGCAAAACTGACCAAACTAAGAAAACCAACCAAGCTAGACCAAATTGACAGAAACCGATCACTTTCCCTATAAGCTTCAGTCAGTTCAGTTTTGATATTTTCAGTTTAATCTCCATTTGCATGGTTTTATAAACCAAATGCACTATTATGTTTTACTCTCACCCACACCACACCATATCACAAATCTAGTAATCCTAATCTAATCCATCACCATTTACATTTATGCTTTTCTCCAGCATTTTAAAAAACTCTAGGTGCATTGAGGAGCTAAGGTCTTTTGGAACCTATGCACGAGGCAAGGTGTGAGCCTCACCAAAAACAAGGCGCAAGTTGTAGAATAGCAAAGTTTTCAATAGAAGCACATATTTATAGAATTCCAAAACTCATAAAACAATATTCTACATTCCAAAAACCATAAAAGTAACACTCCACATTCCTAAAAATCCTTAAACATAACATTCAACCTTCTAAAAACCACAAACATAGCATCTAACAAGTCATAAAACATCACCACATTCACATCCCACAAAAACTTCAAATTTTGATAATCCACATAAAGTTCAAAACAACTAAACAATAAGTGTCATAATCACCCAGAACATCATCACCATCATCATCATTGGATTTATATCCCTCCACATCCTCATCTTCTGCCTCATTTAAACTTGCATCTTCCCATTCCTCTTCCTCGTCTACAAGTTGATGCAAAACTGATAATCTAGAACCAATTGGTGTTGTCCTAGATATGGTTGACCAGTTCTTTGGCTACTTTCCTTCACATGTCTTCTCTATGTGACTATGTTTGTGGTTCCTCCTCTAATGGTCAGCTACAATAGGCAACAAGTTACTCCCACTGTCCCTAGAAGAGCTTGGGAAATTTCTTCCTCATTATCTACTAAGCTACTTGGAGACTCATGTCCTACTATCTTATAAAGCTCTAACCCTCCACCTATGCTTGGAATTCATGCTTGAAGAAATCCACATCTCGTTACTGTCTCAGTCACACTTCCATCAAGTTTCTCACTTATCAATACATATCCTTTGAAGTGCTCTGGTCATCTAATAAAGATATAAATATATCTTTCTTCTAAAGCATAACTTCCCATACTTGTAAGCAAGAAGTGTCATGAAAAAACCCTGTTGAGCCCCAAGGCCCCAAATATCCCAAATCAGCTTTTTCGTTAATCCATAATTCATAAGAATTGAAAGCCATTAATTTTGTCAACACTTGATTAAGAATGTAGGCCACAGTCAAAAGTACATCCCCCAACAAGATATTAAAATATTTGCCGGCACCATCATTTTCCTAACCATATCTAACTGTGTTTGATTTCTCCTTTCCTTAACAACATTTTGTTGCGGCGTACCAGGCATCGTTAATTACCTTTTGATTCCTTTTTCTTCACAAAGCCTTTTAAACATATGAGAGAGATTTTCACACCCATGATTAGTCCTAGGAACCTTGACAGTCAATAGGTGCGAACTTTCACAGTCATGTGAAACTTTTATGGTCTATTTATCGATCCATTTCTAACTTATCTAACGAATTGTTCTAGCAATTCAACAAAAATGCACACAACAAAGATGAGAGATAAATCAATT